GACACCTCAAGCACAGCCCGGGAGGCTCCATCTATTGGTGGGGAGCAGCACCTGCTGGAAGGCGGGTCCAGCGTCACAGTGGAGAGAGGAAGCAGTTCAACTGTTTGAACTACTATTGTCTCCGTTTGTGGGCCTATTTCTATCCACCATTCATAACTTCAGTATCAGCAGGCGTGCTTACCCTTCCTTTCCCCAACCCCCACCCTTATCCTATCCGGTTGCTAGTGGGACCATGCCCCTGGTGCTTGTCACTGCTGTCTGGGCGAAATTGCCCTCAATAGTGGTAGTGTGATGGTCCTGAGTGCTGGTCACACTGAGGTAGGATAGTAGGGATAGGGGGTGTGCAGGGAGTATTAACGTGGGGATGGGAAGGGTAGGTGGCCTATCCCTGTTCCAACCAGCAATCACCACAGGTCTTGTCCTTGGCCTCTACAACACCTTCAACTTTCAAAAAAAGAACAAAAAACAAAGAATGGATCTTCTGCTAGAACGTGGAATAATACACCACCATATTATTGTTTTTTGTGCATGTGGTGTGTAGAAGCCCTTAGGGCCACTGCACGTATTCCTTAAAAAAGAAAAAGGAGAAAAAACAGAAGAAAAATGAGAAAAGAAAAAAAAAAGGGAAAACAAAAGAAAGAAGAGAAAAAAAAAAAACAAAAAAAAAACAGAGAATTCATGACCCGTAACTAAGCTGCACAGACTGCACAGACCTGAATTCGAATCCAGACTATATATTCTCGGGCCACGGAGACAGTCTTCAAGTCGCAGCTCCAGTAAGGGTCCTTGCTGATCCATAGGGACCCTTCGAAAATGAGACTAGACGACTAGATTGCAGCATTTGTAAAAAAAAAAAAAAAAAAAAAAAAGGAAATGCACCCACATGCACACACATGTGCTCACAGTCTTGGGGTACGAGGTGGCACTTACTTTTTTTCCCTCTTGCTGTTTGAATTTCGGGAGGGAGGGGCATGTTTGGCCACCCCACCCTGTTAGCAGGGGTCAATTTTTTTCTTCCCTTTTTTTTGTTATTAGTGTTTGGGCACGTAGGGCCACGTGTCCGAGGCCCAACGTGGCGGTTCCGTTTTTCAAAATTCAACGAAACACCCTCGTTTTCGCGTTAAACGCGATTTAACGGGGGCCCCTTGGCCCATTGAATGGGTTCAACGACGTTGAATTTCACCCGTTCTCCGTTCATAGGACACACAGTTGTGAAGATATCAAGCATTTGCCACGAATGCATCTTTTCGTTTTGTGTCTGACCACAATTTTTTGTTGTTTTTTTAATTACTTTTTCGTCCACTGTCCTTTCCGCGGCGCGCAGCCCGTTGCAGCGAGCAGCTTGCGACTCGCGAGGACGTTGTGTCCTCTCTTCTGGACTTAAGCCCGCGCGTCCCCATCGCGAGTCGGTCTCACACCCGCAGAGCACGACGTATAAACACGGTGAGAGTCGTTGTCCGCGGTCACAGTTCTAGCAAGAAAGGTGATGACAAGGTGACGCTCGACGGCCTCTGTGCACACCACGCGATGCGAGCAACGATACCTTCAATTTGTGTGCTCGCCAGATAGATTGCGAGTGTTGCAGTCTTTCTGGCAATTCACAACGCAGGTCCGGTGATGAGAAGGTGACGAAAGGAGGACTTTGCGCACACCAAGCGTTGTGAGCTGCGATAGTTGCCACTAGTGTGATCATCCAAGGGGCAATCTCTATCTAGTGTGAAACACGCTAATATCGACATTCTAGATGGCAAGTGGTGGAGATGGTTGTAGGTCCACCTTGCAAAAGGTGTGCATGGTGGACGTTGGGAACACTCTCGCAAATCACAACGCAGGCCGGAATGCGATGGCAATCAGTGGTGGTCGGTGCGGGTGGTGGAAAGGAAGTTCGTGGTCGCGAAGATTGAAGTGATCGCTAACGAGTGGCAGGGGAACCATGTCTACCTACAGGCGAGTGTGCATCAAGCGGGTTGGTACTTGACAAGCGCAAACTGGGAATCGGTAAGGGGTTGTGCTCTACGAAGCCTCATTTCTGCCATGATGGAACGCAAAGCTTGAGAGTACTTGTGTCGCGGTTGGATCGTCTCTTTAGAGGAGGACTACACGGATGCTATGTGACATCCTCGGCCTAGATTGCGGGCATTTCGGCCGCTGCGGCCGAGATTCTCGGTCGCGGCCGTGGCCGATGAGGCCCAGTTCGAGGCCTAGTTTTTTAATATTTTTTTCGCCCCCTAAAAATACGTAAAAATAAATAAATAAATAAATGGGGGTGTACGGCTTCAAAAAACCCTACACTCCTATATTTTTATTTTTGGAATCCAACTTTGTTTAAGATTTTAAAAACATCAAAAACTAAAATCGATTTAAACAAAATTAAAAAAAAATATATAAAGAAAAGCAGGAATTTTTTTTTGTCATTTTTTATCAAGAGATATATGGTCCCCGAGTCGACCTGTGTTTTTTTTTTTTAATGAATCTGTTTTTTTGCAGGGAAATGAGGTGTTTAAAAAAAAAAAGCAGATCAATCAATCAATCAATCATAAACCAATCAATCAATCAATCAATCAATCATCAATCAATCAATCAATCAACCAATCAATCAATCAATCAATCAATCATTAAAAAAAACAATCAATAAATGAATATTTACTTTTTTTCTATTTTTTAATTTTTTTTTGCTACCTATCAAAATTTGTGTGTACGCCCGTACGTACACGGGCCGTACGTATTTTCGTACGATCGTACGTACGGGCCCCTGGGAGCCCGTACGAGCCGTACGGACGGACTTTCGTACGTCCTTTCGCGGTTTTTTCGGGGGGGGTCGACTGCGGGTTTCGGTTGGGTGGGTGTCGGGTGTCGTGGGGAGTCCATCTGCAAAAAAAAAAAAAAAAAAAAAAAAAA